TACCAGATAACCCCAATGAACAGAAGGAAAGGATTGACAAGAAAGAGTTCACTGATTTATTCACTCCAGAGAAGCAATTCAGAGGTTTGAAGTTTTTATAAGCAATCTGCTTTTTCTATAAATAAGAACAGCTTCAGAACTTTTCTCAAAATCTCTCTTCCATACTTTCATTCCTGTAAACTATAAGATATAGTTAGGAGTTAAATCTTTGGAATCAAGACTGAGCTAGGTACATATTCTCGATCTCCCACTTAGTAGTGGTGGGGATGTGGGGAAAGACCAATTTAAGTCTCAAATTCTTTGTCTGTAAAATGGGTTGAATTAGCTTGAGTGCCCCTCACTGCAGCGCCAGAGTCCAGGACTTGGGGCTGGTGGTGAGAGTGGTCTCAGACAGCAGAGATGCGGAGGAAAGAAAATGAGCCAGATGAAGAGGAGAGACTAGTATGGTAGGTTATTGGGCTGGTTGCTATTCTGAACAATTGAGGCTCAGTCCTGCCATAGACCCTCTGAAAAACCGTGTAAAGTATACTCCAGAATTATCCTCTGAAGGGTGGTGCCGGAGACATTTGTCCCTCATTGGCTGAGGATTGCCCCTTGAGCACTAATTTCCCCAGGGCAAGGATGAGCTTGTGCAGAAATCTCCACCGCAGCTGTGGCTGAAATCAGAAGTAGGTCACCGGATGTGACATGAGGCACAGAAAGTACCTGCCCTGGGAAATAAATAATATCCATATTAGAGAGTTTTGTGAGCACTAACTGAAATACCTGTGAGAGATTTAACATCATGCCAAGCACATAGTTCAGTGTTTCATGTGTTCACTTTACTGCTACTAATGCTGCTATCTTTATTATTATCACTGTGATTATCATCATTGCCTTTTCTTGGATAAGGGACAGAGTTAAATTTGTAGAATGAAACATAACCCACAGCCTATCTCTTCTATACAACAGTCTGTATGATTGTATAGTTGACCAGGAGCTCTGGTCACTTGTTGTCATTGTTATAGATTATTATGGTACTTTTACTTTCTCCCTGTGTGTATGTACGTGTGTGTGTGTTGACATTTGGTCACAAGGAAATGTCATATTTGGTCAGTTGTATGGGGTAGAAAAAAGGTCGCTAACCATTGATCTGGAATAGTTTTCTAGGACTATTATTCTCCAATAAGACTTCCTGCATTGATGAAAATAGTCTCTATCGCTGCCTGATACAGTAGTAGCCACTAGCTGCATGCGTGGCTATTATTGGGTACTTGAAATATGCCTAGTCTGGCTGAGGAACTCTTTTTTAATTTTATTCAACCCTAGTTAATCTGTATGTAAATTCAAATAGCCACATAAAGACACAGTGGAGGACAAGTAGAAATAGTGTTCTGGGTGGATCGTGGAAGGACCCTTCTCCTGGAGCTACGATGAAGGCAACGTGGCCAGTGGTGCATTTCGTCTGAACCCTGAGCCCACCACATCTCACTTCCTGGTTGGAGAGTGAAGTGGCAGGGACCCAAAGCTGGTACTGGCTCGGGGAGGAGAGGCCACAAGCTCCCTGGGGCTCAGTCCACTGTTCTGTGCACACAGCCTACTGCTGACTGTTGTGAAGGGGAAGGCTTCCTGCTCAGCTGTCTTTGCAAACTCACAAGACCAGCTCTTACTATTTACGCCTCCATCTTATCCCATTTCTCTGCAGTATTTATTCTGTGCTCACAACCCATGAATAGTCATTGCTGAGTACTTACTGAGACCCCAGGCACTGTGTGAGCCACTGAGAAATACTGAAGAGGGGCCTGCTCAACTGCTGTTCTCTATTCCTCAGATTACGGTGAGAGACAAGATTCTCATATAACGAGCCACTGACTTCAACAGCACCTTCTCTGGTTGGTAAGCCACGTCCCCCTCCCCTCAGTGTCCTGTGTCCCAGAGCTTCTCGCTGTGACTGGTAATTGACAATTTATTTGTCTACTTCCTCCACTGAAGCACAGATCCGGGGAGGCCGGGACCTCCAATAGTCAAATACCAAACTGTCTGAAGCTGATAACAAGGGCGACAGGAGTTGGGAGAAGATAGTCTTCCCTGATGCCATTCATAAACAATGTGGAACTCAAGACTGGGCTTGAGCAAGGTTTATTTACTCAAGGAGTTGAGAAATGGCATTCCAGAAGGATAACCTCATATGCAAAGAGATAGGAGACAGGAGTGCAAATGTTGTATTCACAAGAAGTAAGATGAATGAGAAGAGAGTTTAGAGAACCAGGCAGGATTAGTAAAATGGGCCTGGACAGTCAGGCATTTGAATGTGGACCTGTCTTGTGGATGGGTAGGAGCGCCCCGAATCGGAGCACCCTGTGCTTCTGAGCGTGGTGAAACCTGTGGTTACTTCGGTGAGTCTGTGAAGGTGTGGTTGGCAGCACTTGGTTTTGCATTTAACCTTTGATCTCTCCTCCTCTAGTAGGAGTACTTCAGTTTCCTGAAAACTGCCATTCTTCTTGTGTGGCACAGTGAGGTTACCTCTTTGCCTAGGTTCAGGGATGGGTGGATGTGTGAACCAGATCCAGCCAAAAAGAATATTGGGAAGCATTTCATAGATACAGCCAGGGACTGTTGTGGAAACTGTTATCTTTCTTCCCTGATTGCTAAATTAGTGAGATGTAAGCCTGGAGCTTTCTGACACTATCCTGATGCTGCAGGGTTAATAGTCTATCTGAGAATTAAACCAGCGCAGAGGAAAGTAAAGACAGAAGGATGAGACATCTGATGACATCATCTGAGCACCTGGATCCAGCTGAGCCTGAAGTAGCAACTATTTCTGAGCTTGTCAGTTATTAGCTAGTTTTAGTTAGTTTCCTGACACTTGCAACCAAAGGAGTCCTGATTAATGAATACACAGTAGTAGGTGGGATGGCTTAGCACGGAGATGAGAGTCAGAGTGCTCACACGAGCATGTTGTGGCTGGAACTCAGACACGAAGCTCTGAGGGGTCTCAATCAGCGGCTATGGAGGTAAAAACTTTTTTAAAAGGAGGTGAGTCAAGAAGTAAGAAGGAACTGTTTCATCTTTTCCTCTCTTTGAAAGTTGTACAAGCACTGTCCAATGACTCTTTGTCACCTCTTCCTTCACGGCGCCCTTTACGCACTCTCTTTTGTTCGGCTTTGACAACTTAGTGAGGCATGTGAATCAGGTATTCTTGTCCCCATTTTATAGCACGAAGGACTTGCTGAAGGTCACATGGGAACTCAGGCCTGATTCTAGTTCTCCAGCTCATGCTAGATGGACTCTCGTTTGCTTGCATATAATATAGACAAACGTCACCAGCCACCGTCTGTCTGTTACCTTAGAGCGGAGGTCCACTGCCCCCTCCCCGCCCCCCATCACCCAGGCTTCTCTGATTACGGACGTGATGAGAGTAGGAGTTCTTACTGAGGAAAGGCCTGGGAGCCCATGACCCCCTTCATTAAAAATAAAGTCTGCCCGAGTCTCCTGGTTCTAAATAGAAGAAAATGTAGATTTGGGGCAGAACCAAAGGGAAAGGAATTTCCCTTGGCAAATTATTTGCAATTTGTGGATTGGAGCTGACCCAGCTCCAATTCCCACGTCATCGAGAGTGCTAAAATGTGACCAGCTCATTAAAGAACCAGAGCTGGAGGCAATCCTCCCACGGGGCCCAGCAGAACAGGAGCAGAGTTAAACCCAGGAGCTTTCTCCTCGGTGACTCACGCCCAGGAGCCGCCTGGCTGCTCACCCTTCGCTTGTATGTTCCCTCTCAGGTGGCACTTCCTGTGCCGTGGAGATTGGAGCAAGCACGTTGATGATTGGTTCGCGTCTTTCCTCCAGCATTTTGAAAAGCTACCTGTTGTCCTATAGTTGACCCTTGAAAAACAGTTTGAACTACACAGGTCCACTTGTATGTGGGTTTTTTTTTCAATAAATATGTACAGTACTGGAAATGTATTTTCTTTCCCTTGTGGTTTTTTTTCCCTTCTGGTTTTCTTAATGTTTTTCTCCAGCTCACTTATTGTAAGAATGTAGTATATAATACATATAAGATACAAAATGCGCATTGACTATTTATGCTATTAGTAAGACTTCTGGTCAACAGCAGGCTATTAATTAGTAGTTAAGCTTTAGGGAATGCGAAGTTATAGACAGATTTTTGACTGTGTGGTGGAGGGTTCTGCCCTCCATTGACTCCATTGAACCGCTGACCCCTGCATCGTTCACAGGTCATCTCTACTTAAATGAGTAGTCTCCAGACTACAGCACACACCGAGTACATGTTCCTAAGTGCTGCTGTCAGAGATTCTGAGTTATACGGGGCCTGGTGTCTACTTTTTTCACATGCAGCCCAGGTGATTCTGAAGCAGGTGGTTCAGGGGCCACAGTCTAACAAGCAGTGATGTAAATGACAAATGCATGAACTTGCAGTGGCCCCTTCATCAGAGGTTGAACAATGCCGCTGTCATTGGCACGTGTCCCAGGAGAGCCAACAATTCCTTTTGTACTATCACCGTCTATTCCTGGCATAATTTGAAGGACATAACGATGAAGCCTTTTCTGAGTAGGAGTGTCTCTGAGGAGCTGCTGAGTCTAGAGTTCTAAGCATTTACCTTTTCTAGTACTCCTTTAAAATCATAAACTACTCATGGAGAATAGAGCTTTGTGTTTTGTTTTTAATTTTTTGAAAAGGAAAACTCCCCAGTGGCATACCCACAGCGTGTTAGAGTACAATGCAGCTCCTCTGTCTCCACGGCCGAGCCTGCCAGAGCCCTGGGGGTGCCCCTGTCATTCCCTCTATGCCCACCCCTGTACCTGAGATGTGCGTGGGGACCAGAGAGAAAGGTTTGTGTAGAGCTTCATAGGAGTTTTTTCCTTCCTTGGGCACCTCTATTAGCAAAACCCTAGAAAATCAATGAATTCCCATTTCCACCTGATGTGTCATCAACCTCCCCAAATTAATAGTGGGGGAGGTGGTCCATGGCCCTCCACAGTAAGACCGACTGCATATGAAGTGAGTCTGAAAATTCCATTTATTAAAACAAATGAATGGTCCACGTGGGGTGAAACTGTGCACATCACATTCAGGTCTTCCTGCTTTAACATTTCTGTATTTCTTCTCTCCGAAAGACACTTTGATAGGCCTTATATAGGAACAATACGAACAGTTTGGGGGCTGGGAAAACAATGCATATATGTTACAACTCGCCATTGCTAGGAGCAGCTAGAAACAAATAATTTTTAAAAAGAGAGAGAGTACAAAAATTCCTTCACACAGCATGCTTGATTCTCAAGATTCCATTAGTGAGTAAGTGTATGAAGAAATGGTTTCTGTTTTTCCTTGGTAAGCAATCTCTTGCCAATATTGTTAGCAAATTAGCCTCAGATCAACGTACTTATTTACAAACTCTGATTTAAATAGAACAGTATTTGTTTTAAAAATTGAAAAAAACTGGAGTTACTATTGAGAATGCAATTTTTAAAAATATGAAGGTTATTGTTATTATTTAACTAACTCTATGTCAGATTTCATTACCACTCAATACATTATACACAGAAATTAGGGACTTTAGTAATTAAAATAAGTTTCCCCTTTAAGATAAAATTATGCTGGTGAAAATGGTTGTTGAATCTCTAAAAGAATTAAAACTTTTTAGAGGCATAAGTAATCATAAAAGATTTTTCCCCTTCATAAGTAAAACTATCAACAAGCTAAACTCATATAAAGACCCTTGTATTATAATTCCATACTGTAGAACATGAAATTATGAAAAAGCCAAAACATTTTTCTTAAACTTAAATCAGATGGGCTGCATGGTTACTACCTTCTTTGTTCTTTTACAAAAAAAGTCACATGAAGTTTGGAACCTCCTTAATTTTTAGTCACCAGAGCTGTATTGTGATGCTTCCTGAAGTTTTAATTCCATTTTCATTGTCCCAAAGATGTAGATTAACAGGAAAATATAGTCTTCTGAGAAAAATAAGTAGTGTGGATCATGCAAGTCATCAGGGCCTTATAATGATGCCTTTAATCGCCACCAGAGTGCTTATTCATGGCTGTTTTTACGTGACCACGTTTGATTCATATTTTGGCTCATATAAAAATGGACATGGTTTTAGCTGAGTCCACAGCATCGCCAAGCTGATGGTACAACAGTGTAGTTCAATACATGCTCTGCCTTGGTTTTTCCCTAAGTCTCATCTGTGTCCTACTGACTATAACAAAATCCCAAAGTTTGAACGGGAGTATCCGGTTATAGAAGTGCATTCCTTTCTTTCACAAATATTTGAGTATTCTCCTTGCTTTACCCCAGATGTGAGCTTTAATTGGATGCATTTATTCTTCTACCCACATGCCCATAAACAGGGACTAAGGAAAATATTTACCAAGTCTGTTTCATAATCTGTCTTGGCATATTAAGTTTTTTTGTCTTTTGCTTTAAAAAAATTGGGGGTAAGGAAAGAGAGGAAAATAAAATTAATTTGGAAATGGCCTTTTGAAGCCAACAAGATCTGATAAAGGTTTCCAGTGCCTCCCATCACCGGCGGAGACTAGAGCTGCCGTGAAAAGTCACTGTCCATGAGTGTCACCTCTTGGGAAGGGAGGGCTCTCTCTTCCCAAGGAAGTTGTAAATAAAGTCTGAGAGACTCTAACAAACAAGATGGAGAACGAAAACAGAGGAAAGATTCTAGTGGAAAAATAAGTGAATGACACACAAAGACCATCTCAGTGGAAAAAAGAGCCCGGCCCCCTCTGGTGGAGGGGCCCCTGGGGGCCACGCCTGCCCCCTTCTCCCAGGCAGGCGAATGGCTGGGATTCTGAGAATGAGTTTTCTCTGGTGCCATGGGTTCATTTCTCCTGATACTTGGAAAAAAAATAACAAAATAAAAACCAAAAACAAACAAACAAAAAAAGGGGCCACATTTTTCTTAAGAGCACAGAGAGTTCTTTCAATCTAGAATTTACGTGATTTGGGGAAAGGCGGAATCTACTCTTTGCGACAAAAGCACCTCCCTGCTCACGGTGGGGCCTTACGTCTCCTGCTTGGTGGTACCTGTGAGGCACGAACCCCAGATAAAACCCAAATGCTTTGGATTCTGGAAATCACGTTGAAGAGGCATTTACACCACTGATAACTAAGAGGTATTTTAGGCATGGCTAAGGCGCTGAAGTAATCTCAATCTTCAAGATACTGAGTTTTTTCCTTCCCAGCTTCTTTTCTCTATCATTCCTTTTTCAATCTCTATAGTAAAACAACAAAACTTCTGAATGGATGTAACATAGGGACATGTTCATGCAAGAGTACTCGAAAACTGTCACAAATATATGAAAGCACCAGTCACAACACATGATTTACTTTTACTTGCGGAATCAAAGCTATCATGTACAAATATTAGGAATAGCGGCAAGAGAACACAGACAACCGGCATTGTTTTTGTTACTACCATGAGGATAAACCACGGGGAACGTCTCCCTAAACATTTTGGGTGCTCATCCTTGGAGTTCAGTCTCAGAGACAAGTCCAGCCCTATCTCTGTACTATTCTAATGGGGTGGGGTAGAGAGGGAGGGCCAGGAAGGAAGGGAAAACGAAGGCACAAAGACTAGACATCAATGCCATTAAACCAAACCGCAGTTACACTGGACAACTCAGCTGATCAAAGGGTATTCTAAAGGCAATATTCATTCCAAAAAGGTCATACATATCTTAGCTCAGTACAGTGGTCTGTTTGAATTTTTATTTTTTAAATACGAAGCGGAAACAGAAGGTTTGGGGAGGGATAGCAGAAAAGGAATGACTCGGATTTTATCTTTACGTAGTCCCCTCCTCCAGGCAGTTCTGCAGGTATCAGAGCTCTGAACTCAGGGTGTGGATTGACTTTCATTTTCATAAAGGGGACCAGTTCTTTAAACATGCATAGCCTGGAGTTCCCAGGATGGTTCTCCTCCCTCTATTTAAATGCTGTGGACTAGAAAGGTGCCCACTTTGCTAAAAACTCTACATCAGTGTCCCAGGAGCCCTGAGGCTCTTCAGGCTCCTCTTGAAGACTTAAAGGATGGCACAGAAAAACTTCTTCTCCCTAAATGGGTTCTCTGACGCCGGAACAGGGGTCAGAAGGGGGTCTTCCTTGGCATGAGCTTCACAGTAGGCCATCAAGTCTGCAGCCGCCTTGGACACCTGGAAAGGAAGACAACAACCGAAACTTTAGGTGAAGCCTCCATGCAGGTGCAGTCGGTCAAGGCCCAGGCTCTGGTGTCCAACTTCCCTTGAGAATGCATGTTCAAATCCTAACCCCACCACTTACTAGCTCAAGTGAGAGTGAAGCAAGATACTTAACCTCCATCTGCAAATAAGGGAGTTGAAGGTCTTGATGTCACAGGATTGCTGCAAGCAGGTCCGGGACCAGGACCAGGGTGAGGGGCATAGGCACTTGGGGCATAAAAGTGAAGGAGATGCACGTAGTCGGGGTCTTGTAAGTATCAGCTCTGCATCTGTACAACCCTGAGAGGGTTATCCAATGCATTGGCATTTAATTGTTCATAGTGTTCTCTTATGATCCTTTTTACATGGTATTTGTGTGCTGTCAGTTGTAATCTCTCTTCTTTCATTTGATTTTACTTACTTGAATCTGTCTTTTATTAGTCTAGCTAAAGGTTTGTCCATTTTGTTTATGTTTTCAAAAATGAGCTCTTTGTTTCATTGATCTTTTGTATTTTTTCTGGGTTCTGTTTCATTGGTTTCTGCTCTGACCTTTGTTATTTCTGTTCTATTTGCTAGTTGTGTACATACTCTGTTTTTTAAAAGTTTCTGAAGGTACAAAGTTAGATTATTTTATATATTTTTTTCCTTAATGTTGGCATTTATCGCTGTAAACTTTCCTCTTTGAACTGCTTTTGCTGCATACATACATTTTGGTATATTGTTTACCCCTTTTTGTTTGTTTCAAGATATTTTTTTATTTCCCTTTTTATTTCTTCTTGATCCACTGGCTGGTTGCTCAGGAGTGTATTGTTTAATTTCCACATACTTGTGGATTTTCCAGTTTTTCTCCAGTTACTGATTGCTAGTTTCATACCACTGTGGTTAGAAAAGATTCTTGGTATGATTTCAACCTTCTCTAATTTGCTAAGACTTTTTTTGGTGATCTATTATTTAACCTATCCTGGAGGATGTTTCATGTGCACTTGAGAAGAATGTGCATTCTGCCACTGTTGGATTAGATGTTCTATGTATGTTCGTTAGGTTCATTTGCTCTAATGAATAGTGAAGGTGAAGTCCAACATTCCTCTAATTTTCTGTCTGGGTACCTGTCCAAAGTTAAAAGTGGGGTACTTAAGTCCCACACTATTATGGTATTGTTGTCTATTTTCTCCTTTAGGTCTGTAAATATTTGCTAAATATGTTTAGGTGCTCCAATATTGGGTACATACATATTTATGATTGTTAGATCCTCTTGATGATGAACTGACCCTTTTATGATTATACAATCACCTTGTCTCTTGTTACAGTTTTTGGCTTAAAGTCTCACTCTTTAATAGACATTATATTGCTTCTAAATACTTTTACCGTGTTTCTATTTTGTTCCAGAGATTAACTTAAGTTTTCTCTTTTGATCTACATAATAATCTTGAGGTAGAAATTGTTACCCTCCTTTTAAAAATGAAAAATTAAGGCTCCACACTCTTCATTTGTCATATAGCAAAGTATACAGCAGAAAAAGAACTTGAACCCTTATGTTTTGCCATTAAGCCACAGCCACCCACACACAAACTACTCAGATGCAGGGCTAGTTCTAAAGGTTGATTAAAACTCCTTGTGCATCTTTATGAAATGCTACTATGACAGAATGAAAGGAAACAGCCTGTTCTTGTTTTAGGTCCTCTAAATAAAAGCAAAGGACAGACTTTCAGAATCTTGATGACCTTTTTTTGTGCCTTTCATGGTTTGATCCATAGTCATTATTGCACCAAACAGGAGCTTAGCTGAGACTGGACAACAGTAATATCTGAGACTCACTTGTCAAGACGAGATCCAGCACCATCATCACTCATTTGCAATGCTCACACACAAATATGTGGCAGGGGTTCTCAAAATCTCATTGTGAAACAGGAAAGTGTCATTCTGGGAAAAATTAATTGCTAAGAATTTCTAATTTCTTCTATTAGAACACTTGATTCTTGATTTCCTTCTCAAAACATATTATGTGTTTTACCTTGTTTCCTTAACTAGATTATAATCTTCTGTGGGTGAGTCAAAAACACTGCCAGCATCCTCGCAGCAATTAAAATAACTGCTTATTTTTACCTGTCCTTGCTGTATGTGTCAGGGCTGTACTAACCACTTTACAGTATCTCCTCTAATTCCTACAACAATATTATTGGTCATGCTATTATTACCTCATCTTTAGCATATGAACTCGAGGCTTCATTAGGTGTTGGCCCTCCATCTCACAGCCCATGAGAGGCCGAGTCCCGGGTCTCTGTGGGCCCGACTTAATCTTTATGAATGCGCTCCCTTCCTAGCCCGTGGCTGTCCTCCTTGTTGCTTACCTTCCGATGATTCACAGCAGTAGTCTGCCTGGCAAATCTCGCTTTCTGATGATTCCTTTGAACATTTTGCACACAGTTTCTCTTACATTTTACGACCCTAGATCCACTTTCTCCATAACGATTCCCCCAATGACTCTAGGTAGTCTCTCCCTTTACTATCCCACTGATTCTTCCCAAATATCTCCAATGTGTCCTCTATTGTCATCTCCATGACTATTCCCCTGGTTCAGGCCTCCACCTTTTCCTCCATGATTACTGAAATAACCTCGTGGGTTAAAAATTCCCAAGGGATCTGCTGCAGACTGAATGTGTCTCCCCAAAATCATATGTTGAAATGTTAATCACTGGTGTGATGGTGTCTGGAGGTAGGGGTCTTTGGGAGGTGATTACGTCATGAAAGCAGAGCCCCTGTGAATACGATTAGTGGTCTCATAAAAGAAGCCCCGGAGAGCTTCGTTGCCTCTTCCGCCATGTAAAGTCATAGTGAGAACACAGCCTTCTACACCAGGCAGCAGGCCCTCGTCAGACACCAAGGGTGCCAACACCCCGACCGAGGAATTCTAGCTCCTGGAACTGTGAGAAATAAATTTCTACTGTTCATACGCCACGTAGTATATGGTATTGGGTCACAGCAGCTCAAATGGACTAACACAGGTTCCATGGGTAGAATTCAGGGGTAGTCTATGAACTTCAGTGATTAAAAATAATGACATCTTTATTTTCACTAACCTCAGTGAAAATTTAGCTTTTCTTTCCATTATAGATGTAAACAGCACACTACAGGAGCGGTTTCTGTGACTTAGTTGCCAATACAAATGAGGTATTTTCTCTTGTTAGTTATTGCAAACATCTCAGCATTTCGTTCATGTTCACCCACTTTATAATTATAGACCCATGACTAGATCCTATTATATAATCAGTTAATAAAGGAGTACACACATATATAACTAGATCATAAGTATTTTCCTAACAAATATATTTTTAAAGATTTTATTTATTCCTAGAGAGAGGGGAAGGGAGGGAGAAACAAAGGGAGAGAAACATCCATGTGTGGTCACCTCCCACACGGCCCCAACCGGGGACCCAGCCTGCAACCTAGGCATGTGCCCCAACTAAGAATTGAACTGGCGACCCCCCCACTTTGCAGCCCATACCCAATCCACTGAGCCACAGCAGCTGGGGCTTCCAAAAATATTTTGATAAACCATATTTCAACATAATTAGTTTCCTTTGTCAGTTAAAAACATTATTCTGAGAAAGGAACCATATTCTTCAACAGACAGCCAAACAGGTTTAGGGCACAAAGAAATGTTGAAGAATCTTGGTTTTAAATAATTTTTCTTTCATAACTGTGCCAGGAGTAGTATTCCCCATATGCAGCTAGAAAGAGATTTTAAAAATGTACAATGGCCCGTATCACTCCCCTATTTAAACCACTCAATAGCTTCCCACTGCAGCTGGCAGAACGCCAAAACATCATGAACGCCCCGTGGTCTTGCCTGCACTGCGCCTGCCCGCTGCTGCGATTCTGCGTTGTGGTCTCTACTCCCCACACGGGCCTCCTCCAATTTTGCCAAACTTTTCAGTTCTTTTCTGCCTTAGAGCTTCACATATACAACTTCCTGAAACATTCTTCTCCCCATCACCCCAGCAGGCTGGCTCTTTCTTTTCCTTCAGGAGTCAGCTGAAATGTTGCCTCTCTGTAGAGTCCTCACAGAACATTTAGTCCCATAATGACTTTCCCCATTATTCTTGCTCAGAGCACCCCGCTCTGTTCCTTCATAGAAAAACACTTATCACAGTACATAATTAGGATCATTTTCTCTCTCTCTCTCTCTTTTTTTTTTTTTTTGATATACATCTTTCAGTGCTGTGCTCTCTGACAGCAGGGACCAAGTTTGCCTTACTCACCACTGTGTAATTGGTGCCTGGCATATAGTAGACATGCAAATAACTGCCAAAACAGTTCTCAAACATTATCTTATTCAACAAGTATTTCATTAAGGTAATATTTACCGAAAATCTAATATGCCTGACACAGTCTAGAGGCCTGGAATTAGGGACCAAAATTCACAAAGACTCCTGTCCTTGTGGAACTGATGTAGTATCGTACACTTCCCATTCTGATTCTGATGGAGTCGCAGAGATCAACAAAGCCTTCCTGCTGGAACTTAAAAATTTGACAAAATATATGAAAACATGTTTTTAAGTGTTAGATAGCAGGCAGTAAAAGACAGTGATCCCTGAGAGAATGGAGACGAGATAAGCATAGCTGCCTGAAAGGGTTTCCGGGCCACAGCACAGGTGGGGAGTACCCAAAGAGCTCCGAAGTGTCCCCGGGGTGAGGTGACAGTGACAGGGGAGAGAGATCTGGCGTGCGCGTTGAGGGCAGGGGTGAGCACTCACACTCTGGATGCCTTCAGAGGCCTCCTTTGAGTCTTCAGCTGAATACTGCTTAAGCACATTTGTGGAAGACAACGGCTTGAAGCTGTGCAAAGAATTTCAGAAAGGATCATATCAAACAACCCCTGGTGAATCCATAGGGCCCAAATAATTTGTGTCTCCACTGGTCAGAGTAGAAAAACCTCACAACAAATTGGGGATTGAGTAGAGTCCTTAGAAGTGACT